ATCGTGGACATTGGCCTTAAATATACAATAGCCTTTCACGACTTACGTTTCTCTCTGCCTTGCCCTACGTCTACGACTGAGACAGTCTTAAGCGTTTACGGATTGTTCTCTGCCATCAGCCTAAGACACGTGTCTACAACAATTCTTTGTGCATTGACTAAGTTGACTTCCGACACCGACTTACCCCTGGTCCACAATCTTGTTTTAAGTGAGCTGCAAGCCTTGAGCCGTAAGAAATTAACGAATCACAGGTGAAAAGGCCTGTGTCCACGATGCTAGAATTTGGTCCAAGTTCTAGTCCCGAGAAATGTGTAGCCAATCAACGTGCAGCTTTTATGGAATAGCTGCAAGTTGATTGGCCACACATTTCTTGAAACTAGAACTTGGACCAAGTTCTAGCATCGTGGACACAGGCCTAAAGTGAGGGAAATAAATGCCTGTGGTTGGTTAATCATTTTCACCTGTGATTGGTTAATTTCTTACGGCTTACAGCTTACTTAAAGCAAGACTGTGGACCGAGGGTTAGTCGTTAGTCAGAAGTTGGAACTATATATGTTAATCCTTTCTCTTTCACCCAGGAAGAAAAAGGATTGACATTTAGTTCTGACTTCTAACAACTCATTGTAGACCGGGCCTAAGAATTTGAAGAGGGACTTAATAAATTTGCATTAATGAAAGATTTCATTATGTATTTTGTTGACGATCCTCTCAGTTATTTCTATTTTTCTTGGCTTGTTTCAGTACAGCACGATAGTCGACTCGACCAGGGGCAAGCAAGAGAATCTTGAAGCTAGACAGAGGGAGGTCATGGCGCGCGGTCTTCCGAAACGAAAACGCATAAAGGGCGTTAAACAAATTTTTCTAATCGCCTCCGGCAAGGGCGGCGTTGGGAAATCGACCACCGCCGTGAATCTGGCAACCGCCCTGAAAATTATTGAACCAAAGAGGTCTGTAGGATTGCTGGATGCCGACGTTTTCGGACCCTCTGTACCTCTGATGATGAACATACACGAGTCACCTGTGCTGAATCGAGACAACCTTATGGAGCCTCTTGTAAATTACGGTGTGAAATGGTGATTAATTGCCGGGCGCTTTCAAACGATTGGTTATAAACGAGGTGTTTTACGCAATTTTTATAATATTTAATACTTTTAATATTTCACAGTATGTCCATGGGATTTTTAATCGACGAGAAATCACCAGTAGTTTGGAGAGGGCTGATGGTGATGAGCGCGCTGGACAAGCTGGTGAATCAGGTTGCGTGGGGGCCGCTGGATTATCTCGTGATCGACACTCCTCCCGGGACAGGGGATACGCATCTCTCTCTGATCCAGACTCTCTTTATTGCCGGTGCGTTGCTGGTGACGACGCCGCAGAAAGTCGCGCTGGAGGTGACCAGGAGAGGCGCGAATATGTTCAAGAAGTTGGACATCCCCGTTGCCGGTATTGTGGAGAATATGAGCAGCGTTACGTGTCCGAGATGCCAGACGGAGGTGCCACTCTTCGGCAACGCCACGCTCACGTTAGCCAAAGAACTTGGTAATAAGCCATTGTCGATTACATTATTTCGTGATTATTAAGAAGACGTAGCTGAACCGAAGGTGTAAATTATAATTCATACAAATGTTTATAGCAGAAATATATAATGTCTTTTCCACGGTTTGTCGCAGATGTGGATATTTTGCAGAAGGTACCGATGCACGAAAGCATCGCGGAAAGTTCGGACAGTGGCAAACCCATTGTCCTAGCGGCACCAAAGAGCAGACAAGCAGAAGCTTATAGGGAGTTAGCAGAACACGTTGTTACATTTTTAAATAAGCAGGAAATAAATGAGTGATAAAACAAGAATGACTTGGCGCTCGAGCTACACTTTCTCCTATCTTCTTGTAGTATTCTAACAATTACATGTTTTTGGGTGCACGTACATATAGCTTTAAAAAGAAGGAGAATAATTACAGGTAAATGCGTTCCTCAATAAATTGTAATCTTCGTAGTAATTTATATTTAAATACGAATTTATACGCAAGTGTCAATTTTTTCTTGTCTTTAGGTCGGTTTTTACAGCGGAATTTTTTGTACTTTGTTTTCCTGTCTCTATAAATCTAATTAAATATATATTTTTATTTTAAGTGTCAGAAGGTACAGCGCATTGTAGCTGCAATGAACAAATCCATTGTCTATTTCCACTACACTACGGATGTTACGATTGAAACGGAATAAAATTTGACCAATGAGAGTAAAATTCACCAATTTCAAGTTTAGTGTACTTCGTTCTGATTGGTCAAATGCGTACTTACGTGAGACCGAAATAAATATTAATCTGCATCGATGAACATTAGAGTTAGAAGAAGCTAAAAAGTGAATTGAACCGAAATTAAAGTTTCTAAGTAATCTCCATTGGTAGGAATGGACAATTCAACGTTCAAAAACGAAGCATCGAACTCGAGGCCTGCGTCCACGATGCTAGAACTTGATCCAAGTATGATCCAGTATGATTGGTTAATACTTTTAGATCCAGCCAATCATATTAAGAAATCATTGGCCGCGTTCAGCAGACACAACTGTTGAGTGAGCGATCAGTATGATTGGTTAATACTTTTAGATCCAGCCAATCACGTTAAGAAATCATTGAGCGCTCACTCAACAGTTGTGCCTGCTGAACGTGGCTAAAGGCCTATGTCCACGATGCTGGAACTTGATCCAAGTTCAGAGCTGCTTTCGCGAGAAGATCAAAATGATCCGGATTAAAATGACCCAGTGATTGGTCAAATCTGGAATTTCATTGAGCAAAATTTCAATGTGATGCTACGAAATTTCAGATTTGACCAATCATAGCACAGGGTCATTTTAATCCGGATCATTTTGATCCTCTCGCGAAAGCAGCCCTAGTTTCGAGAAATGTGTACCCAGTCAACCTGCAGCTATTCCATAAGAACTGCAAGGTGGTTGGCTACGCATTTCTCGGTATTAAGCCCGCTGCAGACGATGCTATTTTTCCTGCTGGATTGCTTGCAATTTAGTAAGTTACTAGGAATCCTGAATGCTGAGTGGTGCAATGATAGTAATTTACTAAATTGCAAGCAATCCAGCAGGAAAAATAGCATCGTCTGCAGCGGGCTTTAGAATTTGGACACAGTTCTTGGGATCGTGGAGGCTTAATGGAAATCGCCCAGCGCGCCGCCATTTTCTGCGTCGCCGCGTTGCGAACGGGGCTTAGTCCGTCGCTGCGATCGGACTCGTCCAGCGTCCCGTCGGCACTTGGTTTTCTCGATTTTGGCGGGCCGCGTCGTGGACGGTGCTCTGCCGCGCAGTTATCTCTCGAATTAACGAATTTACTAAGGATCAATGATGACGGACAAGGACGGCGGTAAGGACACGCTTATTTTAGATAACGGTCTCGGTCGAGCTCGCCTCACCTTCCCGGCGAAAACGCGAACGTGCGCGGTCGGCGATCGTCTGCGGAAGGGACGCCCCGTCGAGCCGACACGTTGCCGCCTTCCCGCCGGGAGCGCGGCGCGATCGCTCTCGGTTTTCCGCGTCGTCACGCGGCTGCGGCCGCGACGAGGAAGGATTCGAACGACGCGCGACATCCTGCCCACGTTTCGTGGCGCCAAAAGACACGGAGAGTCCCGCGTCTCTCCATGCCGGTTCTGTCTAGCGCGATGCGCGACGCGACGCGCGGTTATAATTGCCACCATAGTATATATATATATATGTATTCGGAATTTTCTTTTAACGTTAAGACTGTCGCCAAAATTGCTTTTGAAGGATTCTTATTGGCCGAAGGGATCTTTTGTGGTCACTTATATCGATAGAAGAGGATTCGGACTGTGGGCCACAGGCCGGTATTCGTAGTTCGTTTTCATATTTAAGATCATTTTGGATACGAATCTCGTGGGTAAATTCTGTATCTTACAATATAAGTACAGTGAAAGTGCCGAAAGCGAGCGGCTTCGTCTCTTTCGAAGGGGACGGTTAGAAAGAGACCGTTCACTCTTAGCATTTTCACTATGGTGTAGGGTACAGGTCGTCCGAGTGCGTTTGTTAGGTCCCGGTCTCACCGAACGCCTAACTTTACTCTCAGTTTAATTCATGTTTCGTCTCTTACCGAAGTAACAGTTGGAAAGAGACGAAGAACGAATCAAGCTAAGTTTAAGCAACGTTGGTGAAACCAGACCCAAGCGTTGCTAGAAAATTCCGACTACGAGGCGTACGACAAACATAAAGCCCAATGTTCTTGGACCAAGTTCTAGCATCGTGGACATTGGCCTTAATATGGGGCTAAAGGCCCGCGTCCACGATGCCTAGAACTTGGTCCAAGCTGTAGTTTCGAGAAATGTGTAGCCAATTAACTTGCAGCTATTCCGTAAAAGCTGCAAGTTGAGTGGCAACACATTTCCAAAGGCCTGCGCCCACGACGCTAGAACTTGGTCCAAGTTCTAGTTTCGAGAAAGGTGTAGCCAGTCAAGTTGCAGCTATTCCATGAAAGCTGCAAGTCGATTGGCTACGCATTTCTCGGGACTAGAACTTGGACCAAGTTCTAGCATCGTGGCCACAGGCCTTAAGGACCCGAGCAGAATGGCTGTCTTGTACTCTTAAGACAATAACTTGTGTTTTATCTTTGTCTTAAAGTAACGTACAATAACTGTCCTGTGACTTAAGAATGCAAGACAGCTGTTCTGCTCAGGCCCTTAGGCTGGCATTACATTTGTTGTACGACAAATTTTTCAAGCACACTGATTGGCTGCGGGATAGAAAAGTTGTCGAGTATCTAGAAATTTCCGTAGCCGATCAACGCGCTTAAAAAGTTTGTCGTACGACAATGGTAATAATACTCTAACGATTATGCTTTCGATTTTGCCACAAAGTACTCGTAACTTCGAATTACTGAAACTTTAATGCACAAATAATTATATCTCGCTTTAATTTTCAAGTATGTACGATTGGTAGTAATCAAAATTGATATTCACCTTAGGGTTTACCTTAGTGATAAATCGCGGTACAAATGGCGAGAGAGTGTGGTTCTAGTGAAAATTTAGGCCCGGTTTCACCAATCGTCGCTTAACTTTAATCTTAGTTTAATTCACGTTTGCCTCTTTCTAGAGTGACAGAGTTGGAAAGAGACAGAGAACGAATTGAGTCAAGCTTAAAGTTAAACGACGTTGGTGAAACCGGGGCTAACTTGTTGGAACATATGTTCTCCGGTTGGCTGCACAGTTCTTGCGGAAGGTGATTTCGAATACTGGGGTTCGATGGGTTCAACTCGAGAGACATGCGTATGCGAAAGTTCTGCCCTTACAGAAAGGTTGCAAGTCGATTGGCCAGAAGCCACGCGAATAGTCAATTAAACTTGCGACTTTTCTGTGAGAGCAGTATTCCCGCATACGTCTCTCTTTTGAATGATCTCGAGAATCGAGCCCTCGAACCAACAATCGATTGTGTAGCGGGACTGTTAGCGACACTTATTTACATTTCCTATGGGCAACCTTAAAGTTTGTTTATATGACACTACATATTCTCGCGACGATGTTCTCGACGAGTCACAGCCGTCTCTGATTTAGTTTTCGCTGATCTTCCAAATGGAACGTAACCGTCGCGTATGCTACACGGACACTCTCTCAAAGATTACGAAGGTAAATCTTGAATTAAGCCCGGAATCAGACGAGAAACGTAGCATTCGCAAGAGACATCCTGCACGTATAAAGAGGAGAAGAGACGAACAAGAATTTAATACAACGGAGGAAAATAACAATCCAACAGCAGATATGATAGAGGGAAATAAAAGTCCAACAGCAG